ACCTTTTGTGGTAGACGCAGAGGCAGGCCAGCCTGGCGATGGTCTCCCCCTGCACCAGATCCTCCAGACAGATCGAGCACTCCCCGCTGTCTTCTTTGCTCAGCACGTCCGCTGCGAACAAACGCACACACACAAAGGCGACAGACAGCGTCATCATCGGCCTTTAAAAACAGAAACAACACACACACACAGCTGTCAGAGCGTCAAGTTACTGGACGCTTACTGTTGTAAGGTAGCGGAGGAGACGTGAGGCAGCTTAACAGGTGATCCTCGATCCGACCGCCTGGGAAAGGCTTTGAGCAGAAAGGGCAGCGAATACCTGCAGAGGGCAGAGATTAGCACATGATGTCATTTTGGACAGCGATGAGCAAAAATTCAGATGACGCTACCTCGACTTCGGCTGACCTGAAATAGCATCATTCGACTGCGTGCATCCGTATAAAAACAGAGAGTCACGCCTGAGGGAAAGCCAGCACTCAGCCATTCATGGATGTGACAGTCAGGCGGAAACAGCGCCTTGCTGCCCTACATCCCCCCCGCCTCCTCCTCCATCTATGAGCCGCTGCCAGCTTGTGAAGTTGTGACCCATTTCCCTACTCTGGCTGAAGGGCTGGCCCAGGAAACCCACCACTCAGCAGCATTGTGGATCAAAATGTCATGTTTTCAGTCACACCACCATCTGCTTGCATCCGATTATCCTGAATGTGTGGCTGAAACGATTAATCGTGATTAATCGGTTATTGAAAGGCTGTTCTGTTTTTAAACTGGTCAGACAGTAGGTAAGTGTAGCGTAGATGTTTATCACTCCAAAAAACAATCATAAAAACTGACAACCAACCTCTCTACCTTTGACTTTAATGAAATAGTTAAAATCTGGTAGGGCTGGAACAATGAATTGGATTAATTGTGATTAATCAGTTTGTGCATTTAAGCATCTATAAAAGAAGTAGTTTTATTTATATAGCACTTTTTCAGCAACAAGGCAGTTCAAAGTGCTTTGGCAATCCAGTTATTTAAAATAAACACTGCAAATGTACCTTTTGCTATAAATAATGAAGTGTCCACTAAAGAAATGCTAAGTTTTTGCATCTTAGGCAATAAAGTGCTTATTTTCTTATTCAAAAAAAGCAATAATTTGCATATTTTAATGTATTTCTAATAATGTTTAAAGAAAAGGCTTAAGTGGTTAAATGATATACCTGCAGAATATGTAAATGTTTAAAAATCAAATTAAATCAATTGTGGAAATAATCGATTATTAAAATAATCGTTAGTTGCATGTACTGCTTCACCCCTTTTGCAAACTCATCTCCCCCCTAAAAAAGGAGAACACGGTCGGTTGCTTCATGTTTTTAACTTGCAGGCTGGAGGATTGTAAAAGACAACTGCTGTCATACGGAAACGTGAAAGAGCTTCTGTGTTGCCACTTACAGTTTTACGCCACTGCTCCGCCGCAGACAATGGGGTCTCTGATGGTTTGAGTCAGCATGCGAGCACGGGAAAAGAGATTAACTGTCCAGGAATGTAAATTCCCCCAATAATCCATTTTAATTTCAGACCAGGTTGATCCAGGGGGATTTTTTAATTAAACTAAATCCTCTATTCCATCAAAACATAATTATATGTCTTAGGAAAACAGGATTAAATATTCAGATAGTTTCATTATGTGGAGCATTATGTATAACCTCCCCCTCTTAAGAGTATCAGTGTGATAATCTTTTTTGGAAATATTACATTTTTCTAGTAAAACTGTGAGTCAATGTGGTATTGACCACATTATTTAGTCAGTGAAATACTGTAGTTTAAAGGTTTAAATGTGTCCGGGGAGAAAGATAAATGTACGTAAATCAGCTTATATGAATTCTGGCACATTCACATGATTGGTTGAAGTGATCATGTTAAATAAAGTAACAGACAATGCAGTTTTCTGTGGAATAACAAATGACTCTGTCATTGAAGGACAGCACAGTTATTGCAAATTGAACACATGCACTGTTTTTATCATAATAGTGCTTCTGTGTTTTACACTAACATTTGCTGATTGTTATGAAAGCACAAACATTCGCTACCTGCATTTAACAAAGTGTTGTTTCTTAGAGATGCACCGATCCATTAACCAGACATTGGAACGGGCAGAAATACCCCTGTCCAGCCTTTAATTTAATTTTAGTTTTCTCATTAAACGCATAAAAAAATATTAACTATTACTGTCTTAATCCTGTAAATATATAAAATGTGCATAGTTTCACTTGGACAGGCTCAGGTTGCTGTTTATCATGTCAAGTATGGGAAATTCAGAATTTTCTTTTACTTTTTTTTTAAAATCCAAACGGGTATCAATGCTAAGAAATTCCACTATTTTTGGTCTATAAACTCAACACCACCAGCATGTGCCTTGAGGCACTTTCATAATAATCAGTGAATCAGGAATGGGTTTGCCCAAATATCTTTCTTTCAGTTTGTCTGATATTGCGAAATATGAGTTTTTTTTTATTGTTCAATAAGAACCACAACTATTTAAAACCAATAATAAACTTTGATCCATCTTTCTTCAAAGGTACATAAAAAATGTTTCAGTTTAACAATTTATAGCATGAAGTTCACTGAACATTATGAATTTAGTTGGGAAATAAAAGGTTTGGGAACAACGTTCTCTTGAACAAATTAGTACATTTCTTTCATTGCTAAATATTCGATTGGATTCATAGCCATAGGTTCTAAAATGAAACTAAAACCGGTCAAAAATCAGCCCTGGACGATAAGTAGAAATCGGCTTGAGAAAAGTCTGATCGGTGCATCTAAATGCCTGAAATAAAAACATTTTTACAGAGACTGTGATTAACTTGTTTGGACAAGTTAAAGGAATGGCTTGGAGCGAAGTCTATTTCTGTGACAAACATATAAATTATATAACGCAGCTTCGACTCCTGACTCTTTACTTACTGCCATGTCGGTTGTTAACGCGGTAAAGGCCGATCCAAGCCTCCGACACCGGCCGCTGGTGTGCCGCGAACTCGGGCGGACCTGGCTCCGACGCTGCGGGCGGAAGAGTGCCGATTTCCGGGGAGCCTCTCTGAAAAAGTGCGGTGTGGCGTGCGGCCTGTTTCCTCCCCGACTTGGCGTTCCGCTTCGGCGGGGGCCCCCGGGCTCACGCCGCCGTCCTCCTCGGGTTTCCCCTCGCTGTTGTTGTCGTCACCCGGAGACGCCTGGCTAATGCCGGACGGTATGCTGCGGTGGTCGGCGGGGCTGCCGTCGGCGCTCGCCCCTCCATGCTGCCCCAAGTCCGAGTCGCTTCCTTCCTCAGATCGGCTCCTGTTGGCCTCCGTTTCCTCGAAGCTCACCGAGAAGTCGACGACGAGGCTGGTGGGCCTGGTACACCGGGTTCGGCGATAGGAATCCCGCTTTGTGCCATCTTTCGGGAAGGGAGAGGGAACCGGGTCTTGAAGGCGACTCGCTCTCGTCCCCATCTCTAGCAGCGGGCTGGCTAAACGCTGGCTAATTCAGCACACAACAAGGGGACGCGTTCACCTCGAAACGACCCTTAAAAACACGCCAAATGTTCCGACCGAAGCCTCGAAAACAAGCAGCCGCTTGGTAACAACTTCTTACGGAAGAGAAAGCGGCTGGCGGGTCGGTCTGGATGATCTCTCCCCAGCTTTTAGTCCGTCATTCCGTCCACATTTTATTTTTGACGTGACCGTTGGAGCTGCTGCAGCGGAAATGAGAGCGCGTTCACTTCCTGTCGAAGCTGCGCACACACACGAACAGTTACGGTACACTAAATGTGACCATTTCCAATTTTATTGACTTAAAATATATATATTTTAAAGTTGTGGTACGAAATAATAATAATAATAATAATAATAATAATAATAATAATAATAATAATAATAATAATAGTAGTAAGGTATAGTAATTTTAAAGCTTCATTTAATGACTTAAAACATACACCAAACGTTAGCATAAATATGTAAAATGTATCTAACGGAGAAAAACTATCCATAAAAATGCAAATAATTAAATGAAATATGAGCATACATTTCTACAGGTTTACTCAAAAATGACAGTATCACAACAGAAGACATGTAGAACATTGTTGCCTTTTACACAAAGTTTGTTATAGAAGAGAAAATCGTAATGCAGGTCAGGTATTTTATGCTTTGCTTCCACTAACAGATCAGAGATCAGATCACAGGTTTGAGGAGTCAGTGTGGCAAGTTTTACTTTGTTTTTAAGGACTGATCTAATACCACAGAAACTGTAACGTTAAATCACGGCGGAGTCATAGTGCCATCTAGTGGATTAAATAGAAAGTTTTTATTCACATTTTGAAAATTAAATGAAATTACATATTTATAAATGTCTTCTGTTGTGATACTGAAATTAAATATAGTTGTTTGATTTCCTGCGGTGTTTAAATCTGTTTTCATGCAGTCATTATGACACAGAAGTGTTCAAAGTGTGGTCCCGGGGCCATTTCTGGCCCTTTCACTGTTTTTGCAGGGCCCAACTGCTATTCAACAATGATACAAATTTGACCAGGTGGTTGAAAACTGGTCAAATTTCTGAAAGCAGGTGAGAATTTTGTTTTTAAACATTTTTTATGTTTAATCAGGTCAAAATTATTGCTAACATAATCTTCTTAATGACAAAAACTCACGACACAAAGTGTTTTCCTTTTCATAACCAAGCTTTTGTAATAAGTATTCATTTTTACCAAAAAAACAACTTTCCATATTGAACTCCTGACTACAACATCTCTACTGATTGGATTAAATTATGAGCGCTAAGGCTGAATTATGAATATATCTCATGTAACTCTTTACATCCATCTCTGCTGTGATTTTTATGACTTATGCGTGAACAAACTTATTCATTAATAAAAAAATTTTATTTAATGAAAACACCACAATTGTGAGATTATGTTGTTGTTTTTTTATGTTAGCAGAAAATAGACAAAAATTTCCCCATATTTGTAATGCTATTGTTTGGTTCTGGAGCGGACTAGAAGACCTGAGAGGTCTGAAAGGTTGATACAGAAGCAGTAGATATTTAATGTATTTTGGTGCAAAGCCGTTCAGTTATTTATAAACTAACAGAAGTGTTTTAAAGTCTATGAGCTACAGGAAGTGTAAGGACTTTAAAGTTGGGGTGTAGCAGGTTTTTAGTTCCCTCTACGTTCTAAAGGTTTGAGCTAAATATTTTTCATTTCTGCTAGTAGGTTGGGAAGAGATGAAGCAGTGATCAGAAAGTCCAGCATGCATCTGCCAATGTTTAAAGTAACATCGGCTTTGTGTGCTTTTATATTTTGGAAGTTCATTGGAGATATTTGCACTGTTAAAATCTCCAAAAGCAATGAGAAGGCAGGATGGATGTTTTTCCTTTATGATTTGTTGTCTTGAAGAAACCTCCTTTCCTCGGTCCTGAGATGTTTCTCATGGAAACTGTTTGGAAAAGAAGAGAGTCAAGAAGAACAACCTGTCGTATCGTCCACCCTGTAAGTTCATATAGGAAGTGGCAACTTCCTATATGAATCTTCCTCATGCGATGTGAGAAATGGCGCAGATTCTCACTCTTCTTTTTTATCTGTTTCTAGTTGACACACTTCAAATTCAAGGTAAATACTGTTATTTCTGTTTGTTTTTTACATTTGGAAGTTTTGAGCATTTTCTTTTCGTTCTAAATTAATCTGGTATATCATTGTAAACGTGACGATCTCATAAAACAAAAGCAGGAAGGAAGAATGTACAGTTCAGTAAGATAAGAAATATCTAAAGTTTTAAAATGTCAACTTTTGTTCACTTATTCTCACTGCATAAGTGATGTTGACTAATTCTCAAACTGTAGAAATTAAATTTAAATTTCAAACCCTTTCTGTAGAAATTAGAATTACTTCCCTTTCATCAAGTCAGACGATCTTCTTTAACTCATTACAATTATTAAAATTATCTCTGCAGCAATTTATTGTCATCACTTTGTTTTACTGATTCTGTTGAATTTATTTTATTTATTTATTATTTTTCCATGAAAAATCTCTCACTTGGTCTTGGTTTGGTCAGATTAGATTGTGAAGTAAGTTTGAACTTTTTATTGTTTCAAATGATGGAGAACAATAACAGAAATTAATTAATACTATGAAGAAAATATGCAAAACAGTCTGCAGATACAAAACATTCACTGTGTCTGTTTGTTTAATATGCTTTATTTTTCCAAAAATCCTTGAATGTTTTCTCTACTGTGAAAACAGAACAAAAAATCCAACCTTTGATTTAAGCGTTTTTTTGTTGTTGTTTTTTCACAGAGGAGGCAAGATGTCCTGTCAGTGATATACAGACAATTTTCATTTAAAAAATAATAATGACACTAACAGCATTTAGATGAACAATATAGACATTTTAGGATTACACATCTTGACAACTTTGTACTGATCTCAGTTTAGTTTGAATTTTATTTTGTTTTGTGTTTTTCAGTTTCCTCTGCAGTGACTGATGTATTTGTGAAGACTGGAGATGATCTTATTCTTAATCTCACAGCTGAAATTCCATCAAATACTGTCGTTTGGTCATGGCAATATAAAAATCAGGCAATAGTAACATTTATAAAGGGTTCCACACCAGCTGTTCAAGAAAGTCACACTGGAAGAATCGAAATTGATGAAAAATCCAAATTCAAACTGAAGAATCTACTAAAGTCAGACAGTGGTATTTATATTGCAAAGGTTACAGCACCTCGAGATAAAGAACTAACTCAATACAGTGTTACAGTTCAAGGTAAGTTTTTTTAGAAGTATATTTCTGATCCGTGTATATAATAAGTAATTACCTGCTTCTCTAAATAGATGAAACTAGAGTGACTTTTTCAAATCTCTCTTTGTTTTTATAACCTTTACTGATAAAATTCATATTCATAAACACTACAAGCTAAAATAAAGTGTTATAAGAATAATTTTGTCCTTTGAATTGCATTTTTTGTTGAATAATGGCCTCTCTTTACATTTTTTTCCTAATATTCTCAAATCTTCTTCATCCCACAGATCCAGTGTCTCCAGTTGATCTCACCTTGAGCTGCTCATCCAGCTCCTCCTCCTATAACCTGACAGCGACCTGCAGGACAGACGACATCAGTGTCACTCTGAGATGTGAGAATGAAACCTGTAACCAGGAGGAGGAGAGAGAAGATCGATCACCAGATCTGGTTCTTCTCTTCTTATCTACAAGTCGAAAGAGTCAATCGTCTGTAGCCATAGCAACCGAGTCAGCAGGATTGAAACCATCAACCAGATCGACAATCACTGCTTTGAACTTGGTAAGACCAGAAAACAACATTTGGTTTTAACCAAGACATAAACTTTATTTAAAATCACAGCAATATAATTTTAATGCTTCGGTTGAATTAGAGAGCGTGTGTTTTTAAAAGCTTACAAATGAAAAACTCCAGTCATTATGTTATTATTTTAAGTTAATATGTTAACATTTCACATATTTTCTTCTCTTTACAGCTAAAAGGAGAATCATGACAATCATTAACATCACTAGAATAATCCTGGCTGCATACTGGTTGTAGTTTTCACTGTAACTGTCGTTATAAGAAAATGTAAGTCTTAGTTATTTATTTATTTCTACAATAAAATAACTCTAGAATAATGTAGATTTCTTCAGTTTAAAACAGAAGAAGGGTCAGAATAAGTTCCTCATTTGATTTTTGTAACTTTTGTCTAATTTCTAGCCATGGATAATTTACTGATCCTAAAAACAGAAGATGTTTATGCTTTTTAAACAGGATTACAATGTGATTGACTAAAGAAAACCTGACTTTAAGTGATCTAAAACACATTAAAAGATTGTTTATAATCCATAAGTTGATTTTTAATTAATTAGTTTTAAATTTTATGAAGGAACATCTGAAATGTCAGTTTAAAATCATCCATGCTTTGTGAGCTTCTTTTGTTTTCTGTGTAGGATCCTAACTCTTTATTTGTTGTAATATTTTGAATAAACTGTGAGATTTAGTTTTCAATTATTGTTGCTTGATGATTTTATTTATTTTTCTAAAATGCATTCTCTGTATTTTTATGTTGCTTTGTAAGATCTTACTGTTTGAAAACTGATTTTTTTTTATTCATCAAACAAAAAATAAATTATGTTTTCTTGTTTGTTTTAGAAGTAGTCACGACAAAAAGAGAAATTCTGTATTTTTATTACACATGAATAATTTTATCAACTAAATTTTCTGTTTTCAAGGTAAAGGAAAACCAAGCCAGAGGAAGTGATGTACGAGTTTCCAGAGGTGAGCAGCAAGTTTTATCTCTAAAGATAAGCTGGACGATTTGGAGGATTAAACTAATTAATATATATTTTGTTATTCAAATAAAGTTTATAATTACAACTCTGCAGAAAAATTACTTGTGAAAAATTTTGCACAAATAATTAATTTGGTTTAACAGTCTGCCTCACTTATTACTATTTTATTTCAACATCTCCATCATGTCATCATGATTCTATTGTTCTAAACTCCTACTGTAAACTTATTATTTACATGTTGTATGAGCTCTCATAATTACTGCCATGCAATGTGAAGTCTGTATGATTACTGACATGTTTAAACTTCTTTTCATGCAGTGACACCAGGTGAACCAGACAAACAGATTCTGCAGACGAGTCATTTTGCCTCATGAAGTTTCTAACAGGAGAGACTGGAAATACCTTCAGACAAACAGAGGAAACCTGTTCATCGTCACATAAACAGAAATACAATGCTTTAACAAAACTGTAAATATGCTGTGTGACAAAGAAGATGCATTATGTCCAAGTTAAAGTATCTAATGTTATGATTATCTAACATGAATTCCCAGTGCCATCGCTGGATTAGTAGAGAAAGAAACTGAGGGAATAAAGTGATCCACATTTTAAAAAGTGCAAGATTATTATTAATCCCCCAAAGATCCAACAAAATGTTTATTTTGTTTACATGTCTTTTTATGTTTTCTATTCTTATCTATCAGTTCTGTTTTTGATAATGTAATTTTTATATTTCTCCACACAGTAAATAAAATATCATTCTCGGACGCTTAATTGTGCTGCTTGTGAGATTTACACAGTGAGAAACAAAATAACGCATGGAAATATTTTAGCATTAAATGCAGATGGTCTCTATAAATGCTTTTGAAAACTCTGAACCAGAATCATCAGCTTTGACCATCATCGTCTGCTATTTGCTAAGCATTTTCTAACACATTTTAAGAGAATCCAAGACGATACCAATAAATCCTGCAAAAAGGAACCACATGGCTCAGTGGTAAAGCTGGCAGTCGATATGCAGAAACTACAGTCTTCAACCTTTTAGTGCATGTCTTCCCTTTCTCTCTCCAGCTTTCTTCTTGTCTAAGTACTAATAAATAAAGGCCACTACTGCCAAGAAAACTTAGAAAAATAAATCCTGCTCCAATAAAGCAGATTTTAGTGATTATACATGTTCTCCATTGAGCAGCAGATTCAGGAAGCTTTTTGTGATGATAAATCTGTGGGGCAGAAGGAAATAACTGGCGACCTGTCCAGGGTGACCCCACCTCTGACCCATTGACCGCTGGAGCTATTGGCACCAGCAGCCCTCACAATACCATAGGGTCTCGTTTGACTCAAACATACAACATTGATCCGATTACATCTTTCCAGGCTGACTGTCAATCGTTGACTTTAACCATAACTTCAACCTTTTTGACCATAATTTATTGTTGAATTAACATCACTTGCTATCTGGGAAGTCTGACCAAACACTCACATTGAAATAATAGTAATACATTTTATTACTATTATTTATTTAATGTCATGAAAAGAACCTTTCATGACATTCAAAGATGCTAATGCATAAATAAGGATTAGGAACAAGGAATCAGGAAAATATTAGATATTAAAAGCAATACTTTCAGTTATTAATTCTGTTTTCTTAAATTTTACAATTCTGATGACATAAAAATTTCTCATGAAAAATACCAGTGTCATCTGTAATATAAAGTAAAACTGCAATGCTTTGGTCAGAACTCCTTACCTTGAAAAAGTAACTTAGTTACTTTACTGGTTTTTTTTAAATTATTTGAAAGTAATTAATTCAGATTACAAGTTTTGTGATTAGTTTCTTTCAGCAGTTGCCAAAAATCACCTGTGAGTTGAAAACAACTCTTGTAATATGAATTGCTAGTATAAAAAGGTTAATAAATATTAATTCATAATAGTTAGAATAAACTTCAAAATAATGTAAATACATTAAAAAGTTGTTGGAAAGTTATAATTTTTCATGTATTAATGTTGTGTCACTTCGTTCAAGGAAATTGTGATCTGTGAATCAGCGATCAGCTCCTAAGCCTCTTCTGGCATCGATGGTTGAGCCTATCCTCCCATATGGAGGATTTTAGGCGGTTTTTGTCCCCTTCACTTTCTGTTCTTGCCACGCTGAGCACCGAGAGCGAGGGATCCTGAAGAATTAGGAAAGAAACTTTAAAATAACCGCTACTGGAAAACAGAATGAGGTATAAAATTTATCCTGTAAATATACATCAGTATATATATTTATACTATGCATTCCGATGCATAGTGTAGGTATGCATATTTATATTTATTCATTCAATCATTGGTTTATTGTTCATATTAAAGTTTTTCTGAACACTTTTGACATTAATGGTTTATCTATGAAAGGCTCTCAATGAACATTTTGTAAATGATGGGTTAAACTTGACTACAGTCATTTACTTTTTGCCTTTCCAAACTGTAATCCTTTGCAATAACCAGCTTCTACTGATACAAGAGAAAATGAAAAATATATATGTAGGACAGAGAAAGATGATGATGGCAATGGCTACTTATCTTTCTAAAACAGAATATTTCTTTGCCTTCACTACATTAACTTTGAGTTTGATCACTAACCTAGTTTTCTGAAACGGTCTCCAGAGTCACAAAGACAGAACTTTAATACATAGAAATTTATTACATAGATAGAACTTTAACATAACAGTTGCCTGCTTAAATATATCAATCAAATCCGTTTTTATCTACCGCCAAATTATATTAATGTGAAAAGTTGTCAAAAGTTTGAATTTTTTACCAGTTTTTTTGTTTAAGTAGTTTTATAAATGACTGATTTTATCTCATCCATGAAATGAAAATTAGTCTGAAACAATTTATGAGTTTATGGCTCAAATCACTGCTTAGCCTAAAGCAAAGCAGGGTTCTGTTAAAATAACAGCGCCATCTGCTGGATGAAAAAAGAAATAACCAAATCCATTCCAGCTTTATGAAGCACTTTGATTTATCAAAGGGACTAAAGTGCTGTAAAGAATCCACAAAAAGCATGTAAAATATTACAAACGCCTTTAGACATTTATACTAATGTCTTTGGACTGGAAGTTAAGTTTTACCTTTTAATATCTTATGTTTTCATCTTTTTTATACTATATTTATAACCTCATAGGTCAGTTTTAGGGGGCTGCACAGTGGTGCAGTTGGTTGCATGGTTGTCCTGGGTTTGATTCTGGTTCTCCGGCTTCCTCCCACAGTCCAAAAACATGACTGTCAGGTAAATTGGCCTCTAAATTCTCCCGAGGTGTGTGTGTGTGTGTGGTGTGTGTGTGTGTGTGTGTGTGTGTGGTGTGTGTGTGTGTGTGTGTGTGTGTGTGTGTGTGCATGAGGTTGTTGGTCCTGTCTGCCCTCCTGACCCCACCAGGGACAAGGATGTTAGAAAATGGATGTTATTAGTGTTCCTCTTCTCTACCAGTGTGTCCAGTCTTAATTTGCTCTATTGCAATTAATTAACAAGAGCTGCAATAGAGATTGAAATTAAATCACACATGAAAAGTTTGTTCAGACGGTGAGTGAGTTTGATTTCATCTCTTTTTTATGAAACGCTGTAATTGAGAAGTTGTGTTTTTTCTTCCACACACAGATTTACACACATTTGTAATAGAAAAGCAGCTAAAGTCCTCACTAACAGGGACTCATATTTAGAGCTAATCCATCATTTTCTTTTATTTCCAGACGTCAAACTGTGGAAGTGAAAGGTCAGCAGTGAAACATCCCCAGATGTTCCTCCTCCATGAGTGCTGGAGCGCCACCTGGGGGCAGCAGGGGTTCCTGATCCAGGAGGGATGGACGGTACTTGAAGAGGGATCTTGGTCAGATCCAGGAATCTCTTCCCAATGGAAAATCTTAACAAGGAGACATCAAAGATGGACCCTGATGAGATTCCTGAACTATTTCAGTTTACCTTTCAGTTCAGCTCCTTCTTCTATGCAACAGACTGAATCTGAAGCCCCATCAGCTCAGACAGAACCCAAACTTACACTAAATGGATTCTCTGTGGGGTTAAAGGTCAAGGAAGTTTGGTGGCCAATCAAGAACAGGATCTCCATGGACACTGAACCAGATTTGGTACCTTTGGCGGTGTGGGTCGGTACCAAGTCCTGCTGGAAAATAAGATCAGCATCTCCATGCAGCGCTCTAGAATTTTCTGCATAAACTGGACTTGAGGAAACCCAGTTGACCAGAACCAGGAGACAACATGGCACCTCAAGCTTCATCTGGACATGGACTCTGAGCTTCTCTGCTCTTCAGACCCTCACACCCTGATCACAGAATGAAATGCAGAGTTTTCTCTCCTGTGAAGAAAGGACTATGGACCAAACCTGAACAGTTCAGCTCCTTTTCACCTTCGCCAGGTAAGACGATTGATGTCTCTGGGTGGCTTAACACAGAGAATGTGAGATTTGTTGCCCTTGTCTAGCACAAAGCTCTCAAGGCTGTGGTTCTTCCTGCTCCAGATGTACACTTCTTCCTTCCATTCAATTTTCTGCCAATATGCTTGAATACGTAACTCTGGGAATGACCAGTTTCTTCAGCAATGACCTTTTGTGGCTCCTTGGGAGTCATTGGCTCTGTGCAGTCAGCAGTCTGATCCATGATTGTGTAGCTTACTGAGTGAGAGACAGTTTAAAGGTGATCTGAGTTAATTAGCCTATTAGATGTGGTGCCAGAAGTTTCTGTTAATTTTATTTTTCACAGTGTTATAATCTTCTGAGCAGTTCTGCTGTAAAATAAAGCTGACTGTTTGCAGCTTGTTGTTGCAAACAAATATATTTATAGTAATGTGATCACTTTTAAATGAATGTTATCTTTTTCATTGTATTTTCCATTTTTCTGTCAAGCACACTAAATTGCTTTAATCTGCCTTGACAGCTAAACTACTATTTATATATTTAAGCCTTGTGTAGTATTTTTCCACCACAATATGTAGCTGAAACTAAAGTGAAAAACAGAATAATAACACCTATGTATCTGTGTAAAAGATTTGTTATCTGATTATTTTTATATAGTTAACTCTAAAGTGTAATAAAATTATTTCAAGTAGATTTACATTGTTAAATACTGTTTTATTATAGAATGTAAAACACAAAGACGTTTGGGAATAAAATGACACTTACTGTCATTTTAAGATAAACATTAATGCAAATAGTGCAAAGTCAGAAATAGACTTTCAATAACAGCTTGGTCTATATAATCACTTTTAGCAAAGCTCTGGATTTATTACTATTTCAAGCTCAGTGCTTTATTATTTGAGATATTACTAATTATTTCAAATAAAATAAGATCTCTTTGAAGTTTTAATCTTTACAAGTGAAGAACAGAAATAATTTGATTGGACTTTTCCTGTGAAATGGGCTCCATAATAACTTCTTAGTCAGAGACAGACAGTGATTCAATAGGATCTGAAGGTATTTTTAGTAATGTTTATGTAATTTATGGACGGTAGACATGAATGTCATAATGAAGTCCATAACGTTTATTTTTTTAATTAATAATAAAGGGTTTACAAAACAGCAAAATGAACAATACAAATAAGAAATGAAACAGACAAGATAATGTTATATAGAAAGCACAAACAATCGAAAAGCAAATAACTAACAAAAAATGAACTCAGAAAGATATTAAAGTGAGAGCATATTTCCATTGTCTTAATGGCTTTTCTATTTTTGAGCACTGTAGAGATCTAATATATTGTTTGAATTCTTCTTTAAAGGCTTAAAAGTGAGTTTTCTGATTTTGGCAACTAATACAATTAGATTGATATAAAAATGCTTTGATTTATTAGTGGGATAAGAGAAGAATCTAACAACACATTTATAAGTAAAGCCCAGTTCACATACACGATTCTTTGGATTAGTCATTAAGACTGTCTTTCATTGGCTCGTCCATGCATGGACTGCTGCAGCAGCCAATGGGATGCAACCGCTGGCCCTGCTGCAGCCAATGGAGAGTGCACTCAGAGGCGCGCTCTCCGGGAAAAAAAGGCTGGCTTAAAAAAAAAAAAGAAGCGAGGAACAGAGAGACGTAGCGAGGCGGTACATATATACACGGTGTTTTCGCATCAGGTAAGATAACTTAATCTACAGTTGTCGCTTGATTAAGTCTGGAAATGTCAGCAAACTTGTCGTATTTACTAAACATATCATTTTAATTCTCTCCAGTTAGTGAAGAAAACTTTCCAATTCTCTGTCAAGTTTTCTAATGCAATATAAGTCGGCCCCGACAGGACGTAAGCCTGTCAAATATTTCCTATTTATGACTATAACACTGACCACATCGGTCAAGTTCCCGTTTTGGCTGACAGTCAATCAGGTAAGTCAGCTGGCAAACTTGTCTGACTGTCAGCCGGCGGCCCGCTGCCTTTACCTCAACCGGCTCTTTTTCCCGGTTTGATGGGCGGACATGAGCCGGAGAGACAAGTGCTGCTATTGAATATTTAAAATAACTGTCATATTAAAAGGTTTCAGACCAGGGTGTGAACTGAGTCTTAGTTAGGTGTTTGAGATTTACGCTCTCGAGATTTTAGGTCCACTCGGATGAGTTCTGGCCTAGATATTTACTCCATAGGTAGTGCACGCTCACTCGAGATCATACATCTATCCTGAGCAACAGGTGCTACCTTATGGTGACGTATGTGCTGTATTAGGAAAACCTCTTGGTATGAATGTGTTGTGTAGGGTGCTGGATTCTGGTGAGCAGATTCCAGTGGGTACAGGTGCTCCACTTGGGCGGAGCCCACGTGGAGCTCTGCATGTCTTGTTGCGCGCTGTGTTCAATAGGGCTCCCCCTAGAGAGAGAGAGTGTAGGTTTTTATGGCAAGCCTTTTTAACATAAATTCGGTTTTACTGCCCTTACCTTCCAGATATCTCAAATTGTTTTATGACTAGACGTTTTAGCAGTTTAAGATATCTCTAATTATATTTTTGACTAGACAAAATACATTTTTGTGATATCTCTAATTACATTTTGACGAGTCAAAATGACGTCAGATTTACCATTGTAAATTCAATTCAAGATATCTACAATGAATGAATGACTATCTGAAATACACATTTCAGATATCTACAATTAAATTATGACTACTCAAAAAGTTAATTCAAGATATTTCGATTGTAGTTTTGACTAGTCATAATTCTAATTAAAGATATCTCTAATTAGTCCATAATTCAAGATATCTTAAATGCATTTTTGGATAGAAGAAATGTAGTTTTGACTCGTTTGATGTGAAATTATAGATATCTTAAAAGCAAATAATGACTAGAGAAAACTAAATTAGAAATATCTTGAATTATAATTTTGACTAGTCAAAATTCCTTTTAAGATATCTCTAATTGAATTAGAGATATCTTGAATTATTCAACTTTTCTATTTAAGATATATTAAATCAAAATTCTGATGAGTCAAAATGACATTACTGATATCTTGAATTGGCATTCTGTCTAGTTTGATTTACGTGGCAATTTGAAAGTTTAATAAAACAATGAAAAATAGAAAAAACGAAACAAGATGTTTGAAAATGCACAACTTTCATGTTGAATATTGATTGACAAAGCAGTTTTAGCTTTTCAAAGCTGTTTTTAAGTGCATTCGGTTCATCGGAAATGAATAAACAGGACATTTTTTGCAGATATCATTAGCAGTCTTATAGTTTATGAAGTTTTGCGTTCTCCGCATTTCCAACATTGCCGAGCACTTTCTAATTTGTGGAATTTAAGGACAATTTTGTGCAGGAAACATAAAATTCCACAGGCAACAGTTTGGACAGTAAACAGTTGCTGTCTATGGCAAGCCGTTTTAACATAAATTCGGTTCCGTCTGACTATCCGTAATTACATTCCAGATATCTGAAAATGTATTTTGACTAGACAAAACTACATTTTGACTATCCGGAATGGTAATTTAAGATATCTGTATTTACATTCTGACTAGTAAGAATAATAATTCAAGATATCTCCAATTACATTTTGACTAGTCAAAATTCCTTTCAAGATATCTCAAATGACGTCACTGGATCTGTAATTTGACGAGACACGTATCCGGAATTACGATTTAAGATATCTCGGACGTAATTATGACTAGTCAAAATTACAATTTTAGATATATGAATTAAGAATGACGTTGAAGACCCTTTGTGCTGTCCAAACAGTTGCCTGCAGAATTTTATGTTTCCTGCACAAAATTGTCCTTAAATGCCACAAATTAGAAAAAATGTTGGACATGCGGACAACACAAAACTTCATAAACTATAAGACTGCTAATGATGTCTGCAAAAAATGTCCTGTTTATTCATTTCCGACGAACCGAATGCACTTAAAAACAGCTTTGAAAAGCTAAAACTGCTTTGTCAATCCATTTTCAACATGAAAGTTGTGCATTTTCAAACGTCTTTTTTTGTTTTTTCTATTTTACTGTCATTTTAAGATAAACATTTAAATGCAAACAGGTGCAAAGTCAGAGATGCACTTTCAATAAAAGCTTGAAGCTGTATTGATCACCATTTTAAACTCAATGTTTTTATTAATTATTTTCAAATATAATTATTTTCAAATAAAATAGCGTCTCTTTTGGGAAGTTTTAATCTTTACAAGTGGACAGGAAAGTAAATAATTTGTTTGGATAATGGCTTTTTCATGTGGAATTGGCTCCATGATAACTTCCTAGTAAGAGACAGACAGAAATTCAGTAAGATCTGAAGGTATTTTTAATTGTAAATCATTAATAACGAATAAATCTTAGTCAAACATAGTCTCTTTATTTTTCCGTCATCATTCCTGGACGCATTCTCATTGAAACCATTGGCTGAAAACATTGGCCACGCCTGACCCTCCTGACTCAGGCATGAAAAGTTCAGTTGAAAAACAGCGGCTTGCATGTTGCGGTGTTTCCTTGGTTAAACGTCACGCATCTCTCGTATCTTGGATATAAGAAGTGTGTCGTAGTTTGTGGTTCATTTGATTCTCCCCGGTATGTAATTCCGGTTTTATATGTCTGCATGTATTTGATTCCGGGAATAGTTTTCCGACCAAAACGGGCCAAGTCTCCGATTTTGGCCGGAAAACTACCAGTGTTTTTTACTCCTCTTTCTCGCCGTGTCATTACTGACAGCAGCAATGATCAAAACTGACATGTTTAAGTGGCGTCTAAACGCCACTTAAACCCAGTTCACACTACACGGTTTTTTGCCCCGATTTTGCCCTTACGGCAATCTTAGAACGTTCTGAGTTCTGATCGGGTCCAGTCGGTGGAACGTCGGGACCGCTTTGATGTAAAATCGGGGATACTGAACGTGTTTAATCATCTTTGCTTATTCATCGCAATGTCTGTGGTGTTCCTTATTCGGAGCAGCATGATATTGGATCGTTGTTTTTTGTTTTTTTAAATGAAAGATAATTATAAAATTATTACACAGAGTCCATCTGGTTGAGAAGTGCATTCCAGTCTTTGGTTGAAATTGCGCATTTGATTTTATTCTGCAGTCATAATACAATTTTAATCAATACAATAAGTTTCAATTAAAGGAGCTGGAATAGGCTACGTTAAGCTTTCGCGGTCAGTTGGGGGGGAAAAGGGATAACTGCCATCCGATTTTCTAAAAACAAATATGCAGGAAATGCTTTCTTCTACTTTAAGCTGCTCTGATGTTTCAGTCATTCCGTTTTCTGAAACACAGTACAGTATAGGTCATGCATATATTGTACAACAACATAAACACAGCGAAAAATTATACGTAAACGGTCAATTAAACGACAAAACCGAAAACAAAAACCGACTTTTCAAAAATGTGTAGTGAGAACTGGGCTTTAAACATGACAATAACGACAATCTATGTTTTTCTATGTTGAATATTTATTTTTAAAATTGAAATTTGTTAGGTTTTGTAATCTATATATTTGTTTTATCTTTTGAAATATGTCATCAGACTCGACCTCATTGTGACAAGATGCAGATGCTCTTTCCTCTGATTGTGTTTGTGATTCTAATTCTTCTGGACAATGTTAAAGGTAAATTATTATCTTTTGTTTTTGTTTAGCTTCTTGAGTCAGCAGTGTTTTTCTTAGCAATGAAAACATTTGATCTGTTCATACAATAAACAAATAAAAACAAACTGAGTCACAAACTAATAGGATAAAGAGTTAATAAATTCAGTTTTGTTTTAAAGCCTTTTGTTGTGTTTCGCAGGTGCTGGGATTGATATTTCTGTGCAGACTGGAGGAGATTTGCTTCTTAATGTCACCGTTCTGAAGAAGTTTCACCTTTTTTACTGGCAGTTCAATTCAAAAGACACATTAGTGGTGTTTGATTCCAGTGGCAAACCGACAGTGGAGAAGAACTACACTGGAAGAATTGAACTTTCTGGAGATGAAAGATCTGTGAAATTAAAGAATCTACAAAAATCTGACAGTGGCGTTTACTCTGCATGGGGTTTAGGAGACAAAAAGGAGCTGCTGGAAGAATACAACGTTACAGTTAAAGGTAGGTTTTAAAGAAAACATGCTATGAGAATTCAAAACCCAAATATGTGCAATCTGCAGAACAATCCTATCAGATTCATTTTGCTTTAATGTTTTTAAACCTGTTAATATTTTTGATTGTAGCCATAGCACCCAGGTCAGCAATGATCCTGTTCCAGATCTGGAAGCAAGACTGAGGAGTAAAAACCAGTTGGAAAATGTATTGCTGCTCATAACCTCTGTTCTGTAAACCAGAGGTTTACAGATCAAATTAGAACAGGGATATTACACTCTTGATGTCTCCAAAAGTTTAGATGCGTTTCTGCTTTAGCTCTATTAAATCCAATAAGTAGGTTATTAGAAGGACCCTGTAGAACTTTCCTGCCTCCTGAGGAAATTATTCAGCCTTTGGTTGTTGAATCAGAACGACAAATCATGTCGCTGATATTCTCTCATTTTATCTTTTCAGACCAAAATACGGCTACCACAGTTTTCCTACCGCTTTTTCTCCTCCTACTGTTTCTTCTGCTGCTGTTTCTTCTTCTACTGTTTCTCTACCGCTTTTTCTCCTACTGTTTCTTCTGATGCTGTTTCTTTTCTACTGTTTCTCCTACCGCTTTTTCTCCTACTGTTTCTTCTGATGCTGTTTCTTCTTCTACTGTTTCTCCTACTGATTCTCCTACTGTTTTTCCTACTGCTATTACTGTTCTTGTCATCATTGCTGTTGCTGTTGCTGCTGCTGCTATTTTGCTGTGGCGTCATCTGAAGAAGGTAAGTCCATCTATTTAATACAACATAAATATCACCTTCTTCTAACTACTTCCAACCTCTGTAGGTTTGATGTTTAAATGTATCAGTTTTTATGACAGCATCTTAGAACGGATCTGGTCTCAGATCTGCAGGTTCAGCATTTTCAGTTTTTTTCATGCATTTATAAAAACAGTCCAGCACCTTAAAACAAGGATTATTTTAAGGTTTTTATGTTTGAATTTTAATTAAGCATGGAGTCATAATGTCAGACTAGTAAACAGCTTTATTAGAGGAAATCAGTCCTTGATTCACATTTTAAAATCTAAATATTATTATCCAGTGTATTTTATAACATTAACTAAAGTGGTAAATGTGTTTCTTCTCCTTTTAGAACTTGAAGTGTCCTGATGTAGAAGATCTAGTTAGCAATGGTATCATTTACTGACTTGATAATTTTAACATTTCTGTCCCCAGAAATCCCAAGACCAGAAAGAAGTTGTACTTTTCTCTGCAAACTCTGAAACAAATTTTCCAAATGTCCAGATCCTCCTTCCACCTCCCCAAGAAAACGGAGCCCTCCACCTTCCTGAGTCTGATCACCTCATGGAGGAAAACACTGGAGATTCAGCTGTTTAAAGCTGCAGAGAAAACCACAGACTGTCTCTGTGCTGCACTACAGGCCTCTCTCCATAGCTTGTGAACAGCAGCATTAGTTTTCCTGTAACTTTGGGTTTACATGCCTGGTTGACAGAACTAATACTCTGTTGTTACTATATTTATGTCATACAGAAGGTCTGGGTACTTGGTTACTGAGAAACTATTGCTTCCTGTGTTGAGGACTTAAATTTTAATGTTTTCCTTTAATATATGTAACGTGCCAGTTCGAAGCTATGAAGCTTACCGGAAACAACCTGCGCTGTAGCTAACTCTCCTCCACAGCGAATACATAAGAGTTGTTCTGAACAAAGCTGCTGTTAATTTTAACGTTAATTTAATATTTAAAAGTGTGGCCAACACGGACTGAACGGTTCTGTTTATTTCCTCCGTTCCTATTGCTGAAACTACAGACTACAATTATCAAACAGTGCAGAAAATCGACGTCATTGTTCACAACGTGTCTTTCTATTCGCTGATTGGGCCGGAGGAAAACCAGCCGGAAGCATTTAAAGTGAAGGAGAGAAATCAGACGGTGCTGGAAGCGAGATTTCACTTGAGCGTAGTTGAACAGGAAGGAATTAACCAGGCAATAAGGGGAGTAGCTGAAGGAAAAATTGATGGTCGGGTGCATTTGATGGCGACTGTTTCGGACCAATCAAAAAATTGCGACACAGAGCTCTACAGATGAAGGAGTAGCTCAGGGATGCTCAATACGTCTATCACGATCTACCAGTCGATCGCAGGAAGGTTTTGAGTTGATCTCGGCAGCAGGTGACAAACTGAAGGCCTCCAGGACGCTGAGAGCAGAACTTCCTCTTCTGACACTTATCAAAATATTAACCAAGATCCAAACGTTTGTGGCTTCATTAAAGAATAAAAAACAATCAAAAAACATGTTAAAATTAATAATCAGTAATTATTGTTTCAATTGCACAATTCAGTGCATTTTGGTTCCATTAACAAATAAAACGGGACTCAAAGACCGACTGACTAGCAGAGCAGGAGTTTAAATCACTGCTGTGATCATGAAAGGCTCATTAATAATCGATAACTAAATATCAAGCCTGGAAACCTGATATTATAACGGACAGAATGTTTTTAACGTAATCTCTGCTCGGCTTGCGCAGCGCAGGCGGTTACCACTGCAACAGGCGTGTTTAGAGAGAAAAGAGTAAAAAGGTGTGATGGTTCTGAGTTGATCACCTGTTCAGGTTGTTTCACCTTTGTTCATCTTTGCTGGTTCATCACAGCCGTTGTTGTTTCTGAATGTTCAATAAATGACAAACTTGAACTAATTATTGTTCATTTGCAGTAAATGTCACAACAGACATCAAATAGGACAAATATATTTAAGTTTTGACAAAAAAATGATTTCTGCTACAATAATTATGTAAAATTAAAGTATTATATCCCAGATTCAGAAGATTTGCCTGGTGTAGCCTATCTTAGCTCAACTGTTTAGACTCTGTGCTTTTGCAATGTTCCTGAATTGCTCAAGCTTTATTTTTGTGATGCTAATGTCCAGCTCTGTCTTCTTTGAGTTTTGTTGCGGGATTAATTTACATTTATCATCATTAACATTTATCATCACTTGCTTACTGGACGAGCTCGGTCTCCCAGGCATTCAGTAAAAATAAATGAAGACGGGTCTAAATTTTGCAGACGGGAAAAATATTTATTATGCCACTCTTCGCATATAATGCATATGTTCTCTGCCTTTGTTCCAGTGATGTCACAGCATTTCGCGTTTCCTAAAATGAAGGCCTACAGACAGGATTTTTTTTTTTTTTTTTTAAATCAATTTAGGGATATTTTCAGTCGATACAGAATTGTAGTAAAAGAGAATCTTCACTTTTGCATCCACCAAAAAAGGAGCCAAAAATGCTTGACTTTATTTCTCATATTTTTTCCTGAAAAAACATAATCATTTTTCGTTCAAGCACTTCATTGTGAAAAAAAATAATTGTTTATCTGATTAGTCTGTTGTGCCTTTTGGGAGTAACATGAATGTACAGAAAATATTTTAAATTTTTTCTACTGTGTAATCTGATTAAGGTTTCACTTTATTTTTTTAAATGCCAGATCTTGTACATAACTGGAAGACTTTGTCTTACCTAATTTTCACTCTTGGGTGTGGCTGTTTTATTTTTCAAGCAGAACCCTTCAACCCTTACCACAGAAAAATACAATGGGAGTATGGCATGCAGACATTCTGTTGAAGGTTAAGGGTGTAAATATCTGTAAATAAACATTGTTTGAACTTGATAATGTGTGGTTAAATTACAGACATTAATTTCCAACATATACAATTAGATAAATTTGATATTTTTGTTCTGACTTGTCATAATTCCAAAGACAATTATCATAAATGACAATATTTCCTAGGTGATTTGTAGCTTTGACTAGTGCATATATCTTCAAAACAAATATTGACCAATTAAAACTAAATTGGAGAAGACTAGGACTGTTAATTTGATTAGTAAAAATTTATTTTAATATGTCTCCAAATGAAGGTTAAAAAAGGGGAAATTAAATGTGGCTATAACTAATTAATTCAGATTCTTTTAAGAGTTATTATAGATAAACTTGTATAACAAATTTGCTGGACGATAAATTGTCCCAGAATTATTAGAACTGGATCCAACTTTTCGTGCCACACAATGGCTACTTCTCCTGTGATTCATCCTCTATGATCCACTGTGGATTCATCACCACCAACAATCAATAGCGGTCAATTTGACCAAATCCTATTTTGATAAAAAGGTTTATTGTAAATAAAGAATATAAAAAATGTTTGAATAATGTATCAACCACATTCATGCTCTATTATTTTACCATTCAGGATCTAGTCGAAACAATGTTTTATGTATCTGGAATATGCAGACGAAACCGATTTTATATTACGACGGTAATGCCATAAAATGAGCGGAGAAAGCAGCTGACGTCCCCAACTGCATGCTGTTTACATGAAAAAATGCCGGTTATGACAATTCAGTAAGTTGATAAAATTCAGTATTTGGTTAAATTAGGAAATACCGGTGACCCTGCGTTAGGTACTTTATAAAAACTGTTGTTTCTGGTTCATGTGAGTACGGTGGCCGGGAACCTCATGAGTTATGCACAGCTATGTATGACCGGTCGGGGAAGGGGTGCCCATCAAAACATAATTTTAGTCTTTATATTATAAGTAAAGAACAATTTGTCGAGCGCAATTTCGCGCGTAAGGCACAAATCTGCTCGTAATGATGACAGACGTCGTGGGTACGGTTTGCACCGCTCTGGATCACAATGTTATCAAGTTAGCTAGCAGCTAACCGGCCGGCTAGCGTTACCCGATCAGCTAATTGTTAGCATTTCTGTAGTCGTGCAGCTCATGAACGCTGGTGCTCGCTAGCAGCACCACAACATACCGTCTGTTTTTTCTGCTAACCGGTAAGTTGTGGTGCCTTTTAAATCGCGGTTTGCCAAACTTACCAGACCAGACCAAACAGGACCGACTTTGGGCTCCAGATTCTCGTATATTGACGAGTAAACGGACTGAAATATGACCGAAGAGGAAACTTTTAAACCTCATCATGTTTCTTAACCATGTCAGCCCTGAAACGGTGGGTTTTGTTTCGCTAATTAATAAATGCGGTTTTGACTCATTCATTGCGACACGAGTCGAACGTTTTACAGTTTCAGATGGCGGTTTGCAATTCACGGCTTTTTCTTTTAAATGCTTAAAGCAGGGGTGTCAAACTCAAATACACAGTGGGCCAAAACTTTAAATTGAACAAAGTCGCGGGCCAAGGTTGAACAAATGAATCTTTTGATATGGACCCAAACAAGTTCTAATATAACAATAAATATTGAACAAGCAAAGCTTATCTAACTTAAAAGTGCAGGTGTGCAAAATTGAGTTGCTAATAATAATAAAACATATTATATTAAATAAAAACATATTTAATATATGAAGTAAAATATTAAATATATTAAATAAAATTTAAAAAAAAACATTTAATGCCTCCTTTCTCATGTAAATGTCTAATATTAATTTGAAATTGCCTCGCGGGCCAAATTTGGCCCGCGGGCCAGAGTTTGAACACCTATGGCTTAAAGCATTACAAAACAGAGGCCAGTTATGTAGAATATTTTAACTGTCCAGTCTATTAATGTAGGGAGGATGCATTTTAACTTGTGATCCTGCCAATATCTGCATCCCCTAACTATTGTCCTGTTGATATGAAACCTATAGCGGTAGCTCAAAGAACAAGTGTCATCATATAGAAAAGGTGAAATCCCTCTTGTCTCTTTATTTCTCCATGTTAGCGGGGAGGTGCATTTTTTGGCAAAGTAAATTAGTAGCCTGCCACTATTTGCATGCCCTCTTTATTTTCCCCAAATATCATCTCATTGTAAGACTTGTGGGTGTCCAGATACTGTGATTCTCCTTTGTAGAATAAACGTTCCCTACGGGGAACCTTTCAAAATAAAACATTTCAAAAACATTTTAAATTTTCATAACTCCAATTTTCACTCGTACATTATTGATATGAAACTCATACCAGCAGTTCATAGAACAAATGTGATTATGTAGAAAAAGTTATTTCACTCTTAACTCTTTTATTTGTGCAAACTAGGAGGATAATATTCTTTTTGAGTAATTTTTGCTGTTTTACCCTTTGTAAAAAACTTACCGAAATGCTGTAAAAGTAATGAATGCATGAGATCAAATAGTCCAGTAACAGATGAGGAAGGTCAACAATAATGACCTCCAAATGTCCTTGCCAGAAAATGCATGCCCTGCAATGTGAAAATATTGTATGGTAATGTGTTGTATGACGTTTTCTACATATCCTCTGAGATACTGGTGTGACTTTCATATCTGTGTGACACATTTTGAGCTGACAAACAGGGGATGCAAAATATCCATATGGAAAAGAAATAGAAAAACATTTTTTTTAAAATAAGCCTTATATTGTCTTCAGTATATGTTTTGTACGTTGTACAATATAAGCCATGTATGATTTATTCTTGAAAGTGGCCACTTTTGCATTTATTTCATCCAATATAAGTAAGTATCCAACTTAAATAAGTTTCAGTTTGTGAAAATTAACTGAGGATCTTAAACTTGGCAATAATGTGTTATGCAATAAAAATAAGTTTCAAACAAAAAAGATAAAAACCTTATAAGATTTATATACATCGTTTCCTTATGGGTAAGGAGGCTGATCATTTGCTGTGCGAAAATATGCATCCCCTGCTAACTCAGACAAATTGAGAGTTTAGAAATATGTAAGCTTTTCTACATAATCACACTTGTTCTCTGAGCTAAGGGTATGAGTTTCATATCAATACGATAATATTTGGGGAAAATAGTGAGGGGATGCATGTATTGGCAAGCTACTAATTTGCTTTGCCAAAAAAATGGATCCCCCTGCTAAGATGGATAAATAAAGAGTTAAGAGGGATTTCACCTTTTCTACACGTCATGATCTAATTTAAATTAGATAAATCTGAATTCAACCTAAGTATATTAGGCATACAAATGTTGCATCATTATCATTTTATCTCTTGGCTGTTGAGGTGAAAAATATTTGTATCTCATCAGACGCGTCTTTTAATCTTTCAGGGCAGTTGGACTTCTATGGGCCAAGATGAAATTCATCTCGCTGCTTCTACTCTTCCTTGAGCAAATTCAAGGTAACAGATTAAAAGTTATTTGAATTTTAAGCTCACCAGACCAGTTTAGTTTCTGAAATCAGTTGTTTATTAAATACTGTTGTGTGGTTTATGCAGTGAGCATCTTGGAACAGACTGACATTAATTAAACACAGCTTTTGTTTTCATTTAGTGTATCCCTGAACATTTTGTTGTTACTTGAGACTTGGTTTTTATTTACATCTAATTTTAATTAAACGTGTTTACTGTTTCATAACTTTGAACAAAATTAGTTGGATTCTTCAAACTGTTTTTGGTGTTCAAATGTGCCTGTAAAACGTTACAACTAATCCTAATGAGGTCAGAACTGCTTTATTAACTCAGTGCCACTGTGATAAAATAGACATCCCTGTAAATGTTTTTAATTATCCATCTTTATTAAAACAATTTGATATGACTGAGTAGATCAGAGATTATCTACATCAAAATGCGGTCCTCATTAGGTCTTTATAAAGAAGCTTTTATGTCGTTTTCAAGGCCTGATCACTTTTGAAGCTAAACGGAAATCATTAATAAACAGAATCTGACAAGAGAAAGTAGATCAAAATCAACAAAAAAGCAAAACATCAAGCACTAATCTATAGTAGATGAAACAAAATCAGTAGCTGAGTTTCCATTATAAATGTGAGCAAATCTTTGTTGATGTTCTGCTCGTGTTGAAAAAGGCAATTTCACAATTGCGATGTTTTTATTAAGAATCAAAATCACACATGAATAAGCTTGTTGACTCTATAAGTCATTAAAATGATGGCAGTAACAGATTTAAACAGTTACATGAGGTATATTTATCGTTCAGCCGTCAGAGGAAACATTGTCATCTTATTCAGAAGCAACAAACCACTTAGGAGCAAATGCAGCGTTTTGGAGAAATTATAGTTGTTGATTTCACATTAGAGCTGTTTGAATGTTACACAACTTTTTATGAAGGGTGCGATGCTGTAAGAACTCCAGTGGATCCAGGTTATGCAGCAGGACACATTAGTCTGTCCACATCTGAATAGTTTTAAAATAAACTAAATAAGGTTGTTTCAGTGGCCAGGTCCTTAAATTTTATTTCTTATTTTTATTTCTTGTTTTCAACACTTTAATAAGTTTTTGTGTGAGCCTCCACACCTGATAATGCTGTTAACTTGAATTTTACCTTTGTGGGACATTAAGGGATATATGTATATATTAAACAGGCTATTAAAGCTCGAGAAAACCTTAAATGTGGCCAAATTAAACCAAGAGAGGAACAAAATCCCTCCATAGTGATGGAAAACTGACATCACCAAATTAGTGCAAAGGCTTAATGCCCTTTTTTGCCACCAACCAGTTATTACGTTGAGGAGGAATTACTATTTTACACTGGATCAGGTTTGTTTCAGAACTTTATTAAATCAAATGGTCATCTCACAGCCAGGCTTCCTTTTTGTCTGACAATAAAATGAACGTTATGAACTGAAACACTAAAGTTTGAAAAATAAAAACAGAACAAATCTGTTTCCATTGGATTTGGTAATTTGGTGCTGCTGTGCTTTCTGCTTTGTCTGAACTTAATTTGTTGTTTCAGCAGGTTCCACTGAGATGATCCAAAAGTTTCTGCCAACTGGAGAGAGATCATCTATCAATTTCCCTGCAAATGACCTTGCCAAAAGTTGTGTGTTCTCTAAGTCAAAATAACAATAGGAACATGTTACTATGATGCAGAGCCAAAACTGGGGGAGAATTTCATTGGAAAAGTGGAGCTTTCTTGTCCAGCATCGCTGATATTTACAAGTCCACAGACATCAGACTGTGGAGTTTATTCTGCACAGTTGACTGGAGATCGGATTGAAACTATAAAATACAACGTCACATTTCAAGGTAGGACTTTCTGTATTTAAGGACACTTTACAAAGAACAGCTTATAAATGAAAACTTAAGTGCCTGTAATCTGTAGCACAGCGCTTTGCTCTAATGTCTTTAAAGCTTCTCTGCTCTTCCTCATCAGATCCAGTGTCTCCAGTCGAGCTGAAGCTCCATGTGATTTCAGACTCATCCTGCAAAGCAACCTGCAGCACGGAGGACGACGAGGTCATCGACACTTCTTTAAGTTGTGACAATAAATCCTGCCATCTGGCGGGAGGAGAGAGGTCAAAGGTCACCAAATCTGGGGCTTCCCTCAGACTCTACCAGTCAAATGAATCGATCATCTGTAACCATAGCAACCAGGTCAACTGGACCCAAAGCAAGAAACAGATCAATATCTGTGTGAGATCTGAAGGTAAGACTGAGGAGTAAAGAGCATTTTGGTTTAAACCATCTGGAAACACGTTGTTAGTAACATCATGAAGTGAAGCAGCTTCCTGTTCATCTCCACAAGATTACAGATCAACTTAGAGCTGGGATCTTAAACTCTAGACGTCTCCAAATGTTTAGATGTTTTCTGACTTAGCGTAACTGTATCCAATAAGTAGGTTTTATCAGGACTCTCTTATAACTTTCTTACTTTTTGAGTCACCCTGTAGAATCAGAATAAATCTTATTGAATCCATTGTTTTAAACTCTCTTGTTTTCTCTTTTTAGGGTCCACACTCCAAACTACTCTGATTGTAGTAGCTGGTATAATTGTAGCTGGTATAATTGTAGCTGCCATCATTGGTCTCTTGTACTGCTATATTAAGGTAAGTCCATCTATGTCATACATTGTAAATATTGCCTCATTCTAACTAATTTCAGTCTGTGTAGGTTTGATGTTTAGGGTTAACATTGTTTCATGACTGACTGACGATCGAATATATTGCTGCACTTTGTCAAAATGTCCCTCTTTGACTGACCACACTTGCTGATTTTTATTTGTAAAGCATCTTTGGGCTTCATATATAATTATGTTCACTTAGAACTTTGAGCCATTATGATCTGGACTCTCAGGACACCATTTTGATTCATAACTGAACTGAGTAAAAAAGGTTTTTCATTTTCTGCACCTGCTACCAGGAATGATCTACAGAACAATTTAAAATGAACATCTCTGGCTAAATTAAATCGGTTCTGAAGGACAGAGAGTTCAGTTCACTCGCCTCCTGCCTTAATATGTAATTATTTGATTTCTCTAAGTTGTGCATTTCATGTATTTGGTCTTGTATTTCAGATTTGTAGCATCTTTTATGCTGCTGTCTTGTCTCTGTATCTCTTAGAAAAGATGTTAATGTCAATGAGTAATTTTTATTCTTGATAACAGAAAGGATACATACATATATACTTATTTGTCTTTGCTGTTCACTAATGTATATTTAACAGCATCGTAGAACAGATTAGATGTTCAGATCACCTTTAAACAATAAACAATAAACCTTTAGAGGTTTATTGTAAGGTTTTTATGTTCCAACCTTAATTAAGCATGGAGTCATAATATCATCTACTGGGTTATTGAACTGTTTCATTAAAGGAAATCAAAGTCTTTGATTCACGATTTAAAAATCTAAAGATTAGTCAAATAGTTTTTGTGTATTTTAAAACATTAACTAAAGTGGTTTAAATGTGAACTGGAAGCATTTACTGTAAATAGTAATGTTAATCATTAACTGACTGTTTTTAACTTTGACATTTCTGTCCCCAGAAGAAGTTATGTTTTGCCCAAAGGCAGACAGGGTCATCAAACTCGCAGACGCTCCCTCAATCCCAAGCCAACGGAGATCCCCGCGTCATTCCTGAGTCTGATCGTCTAATGAATGGAAACACTGCAGAGTCACCTGTTTAAAAACACGGACCGTCGCTCTGTGCCGCACCACAGTCCTATCCAAAGCTTATAAATGCCAGAAATAGTTTTCCTGTAACTTTAGGTTACAGGTGGTTCTTAGACACACATATACAGTTGACCAAGCTAGTACTCTCCTCTTGGCACTGATTGGTTGTTTCTGATGGGAGCACAGTATTTCTGCTGATGGCAGTAGGGCTACAGGTGGGAATTGTTTACAAACTCATTATTCCAATTTTTGGGACCAAATCATGATGTACGATCAATTATTCATAATGATATTTATTGGTGTGCCTCTCAGTCCACTTTGCAGCTTAGAATTGCAATGAAGAAGGGAATTAATTTTAATCAGTAATTTATACCTAGACTGACTTATTCTTGCTGCATTTTCTGTTTTTATGAAGCCGTCACTGGATAATATATGTTTACGTCAACAACTGCCTCGGTTTACAACGGCAAAGCAATTTCCATGGTGCAGATTTTAGCCATTTCACAATCTTTGCAGGTAAAAGAGGCATAAAAATGTACCTAATTTCTGACTGCATTTGATAAACATTCAAATAGAGGATAGAGGAATCAAATTATCCTGGTAAAAACCCTTTTCCTAGAGCCATTTGCTTCGTACAAAGGGTCTGGACCCTCAGTTACTGAGAAACTATTGGTTCCTGTGTTGAGATTTTAAATTTTAATGTTTTCCCAGTGATTTAAATAACGCACCGGTTCGACACCATGAATGTTACCAGGAATAACTTGTACTGTAAACAATCATTCTCCACTGTGAAGAGAGAAGAGCCAAACTGAACGAAGCTGCTGTTAATTTTAATGTATTATCCTTACATAGGACCACACAGAGGAACTGTTTGAAAGAACCGCTAAATATTCTTTCAAAAATCGTCTGTGGGGAAAAGTGAGAGTTTATTTTCATACAGGTTTAACAAGCACTTTTTAACCCAAAATGCACCAGACAGATAAGCATTTTTTAAGTCTTTGCACACAAACTTCATTGTTAAAAAATAATTATCTGTAGAGCCAGTTGTGCCTTTTGGGGTAATAAGAATGTACTGAAGAATTGCCTACTGTGCAATTTGAAAATGCCTGTTTTTCTTTACTCCTGTTTTTCTTTATTCTTAAAAATGCCAAAACTTTACACACTGGAAATCTTTGTCCACTTTTACAAAGGAATCAGACATTGTGATGAGTTGCTTGTGTTAATTGAATTGCATTTTTACCTGATACTTTTTTACTTTCATTTTTACTTCTATTTTCTTGAATATATTTATACATATATATATATATATATATATATATATATATATATATATATATATATATATATTATATATATATATATATATATATATATATATATATATATATATATATTCTGAAATGTTATTTGTCCTTTTGGTGTGTGGATATACATTTTTCAAGCAATACATTGGCATTGCCAAAACAGACATTAATAAAATGCTCTATGTTCACACCCATGAATAAACTTTGTTTGGACTTTATTGTGTGTTTTTTTGGGGGAGGGGGGGTTGCAGGTTCTAGTGTCCCTTATATGGCAGTAGAGTGACAGGAAGGGAGTAAGGTGAGGGGGAAGGGGGAAGGCATGCGGAAGATGCAGTCGAGGACTAAAGGCCTCCAAATGTAGGTCGTGCCATCCCTGCGCTACAGCAGCACATGTTGGAGTTTCTGAAAGCTGAGATCTGTTAAGCGTCATGCAAGATCCATAAATAATTTTCAGTATTTTACCCAGTTTTAGAGAGATATCAATGCAAGCCACTTATTTGATGTCCATATGGCAGAAAATCTGCTTTGTGAATTAAAAATCTTCTGTCATTTATACATCTCTGTAAAAGGTTGTATTTACAGGTGAAGGCCTCTGGGTGGCGCTCTGACCCCGTTCAAGATATGCAGAAAGTTTTGTAACCAGCAGTGCAGCAGTCTTTTTTTTCTTTTTGTCAAATTTGTCATCTGTTTTTAGCAGACATTTTTAAAGTAATCTGCAAACAGCTCTGAACTTTTAGAAGGTGAAGTGAAGCCATTTAGTCTGGAAGTAAATTTAAAGTGAACTCAGATATTAGAGTATTTCTACCTACATGGTTAAGTTTGGGCGAATGTTGCAGCAACATGCTTTTTGCTTTTCTGCTTCAGAAACAGCTTTTCCTCGACATGCAGATTGAGAATTAAACTCTGACTCTAATTTTCACATATTAGTTTCCTGACTAAAACCGAAGGTCACGAGGTGAGATGAGTACGAAACCACATCCTCTGTAAAGAGCAGTGAAGAGACCATGAAACCTTTTTCTCTTTGAGTCCATTAGCAAGACAACTAGATTTTATAAAAATAATCAACCCTCCCAAACTTTTTCTCAAATAACAGTCAAACTTCAGCGAAGCCTCAGAGACTGTCAGTAAAGATTGTTTCTTTGTTTCAGGAAGTAAATAAAAGCAACAAAACTCATAGTTCATCCAAGGCTTAAGGAATCAGACAACATGGCCGCCGGGATGTTGGGTACAGGATGAGGTGGTTTAACTGCAGACAGCGCTTCACTGTAAATATTCAACATTTCTACTTGAATTTGATTTACAAATCAGAATCTGAATAGTGATGATAATCTGATGTATGGAAGAAGAACAGGGCCACATAAAAATAAATAAAACTGACTTTAATGTCAAAATTTTACTTTAAAGTATTTTAAAGATATCAGACTTTAATCCCATAATTCTGTTTTTTCCTCAGAAGTTTGACTGGTTTCAGGGAATTTTCACTTCTTTTCCACATTCTGACTTTTTTGCACCATTTTGAATTTAAATTCAATATTTTCTCAGAATCTACCATGTTTTTCAGAATTATATTTTCTCTGAATTTCTTTTGTTATAGGATTTTAAACCTGCACTTTTACATACGCTGAAAACGTATTCCAAATTTCTTTTGGAGATTTGAGTTCACGATTAAATTTGAATTTAAACAATTTTGATTCTTAGTAAAAACTAAATTTCAACATTTTCTTTACTTTTTCTTTGATGGCCTTAATCTTCTTCCATACAAATAGTGAACTAATAACTAGGATCAATTGCAATGTGTGCGTCATTAAATTGAAATGACTTTTTGGGATTGAATCAATAAACCTGTACCAAACAAATCATAACAGTGAGATCAGACGAGAAAAAGAAAGAAATGCCAAAAAATTGTGTTATAATTGTTACAAAGAAGGAATAATATATAAAAAATTCACAAGTGATTTAGAAAATATATCAGAAAAAGTCATATTTTTTATTCATGTAACCGGTCATTTGTGTTTGTTGAATTTCTCCATGAGGTGGACGGCGATGACGACCAACACCATGACAATCAGACCCACTGAGAAAACCACTTTCTTCACGTAACAAATGGAAAATCCAAGGAGTTCGTCTGCATCTGCAACAGGGAGGCATCAATTCAACCAGAGTGACTAGTTAATTTCTCTAATTTAAGTTTTATCAAGATTTCTATAAATCTAGTCATTTATCTCATGTGCATTTGAAAAATACAACCTGAAGCATCTTGAGAAGTAAATGTATGTAAACATAACCGAGAGTAAAATCGTATTTTCCCACTTTTCCTTGAACACAACTTATATGTGACGGTTTTGTGATTTTTCCTCCTAATAATTTATGTTTTGACTTGGAAATCAAAATGTTTTTTTTCTCCACATTGCAAAATGTTCACACCTTAAACAATTTTATGTTTTCTCACAAACTTCAATGTAATTAAATGGGATTACAAAGTAGTGCAGAATTGCTAGAGGGACTGAAACTCCTTTTTTATAAAAATAATTTGTAAAGAATGTTGTGCTTTTGCATTCGTTTAATCTCTATCATTTAATCTCCACATTTTCTTAAGAGCTGCAATAAAGAGCCAAAATAAGAAGTCCACAAAGGTCATAGACAACCTGTTATGGACGGTTTTCTGGTCAGATAAGATCAAAAATTTACTCTTTTCCTCCTAATGCAAAATGCAAAGTGTGGATTTTTTCCACTTTTTACTTCAGCAGAGAAAATGAATCTGGTCAGAGTTGATGAGAAGGTGGATGGAGTCAAATATAGTACGATAATAATAACAGAAAATCTCTAACTTTGGACTGGGTTGGAAGTTCACCTTCAATTGGTCCAGTCAAAGTCCATGCACTGAACTTTGCTATAACTTGACAAAATGCAAAAAGGGTAGGAAAACTTTATCTTGTTGTGAATCTCAAACTTACCGGCATTCTTCGGACAAAGGTGATCAATCTCGTTGTTTCTCCATCCAGCTGACCTGGTTGCTATGGTTACAGACGATGGATGAACCGGACAGGAAGACCTTGAGGGAAGCACCAGATTTGGTGACCTTTGATCCCTCTCCCCCCTCTTGAAGGCAGGTTTTGATGGTAGGTCTGAAAGTGCTGCTGATGTCGGTGCCGTCGGCGGTGCAGGTCGCTGTGACGTTACAGGAGGAAGAGTCGCCGGACACGGAGTCAACGGTCAGATCGACCGGACCCACCGGATCTACGGAGAACCGATAGGAAAAATTGGAGCAAAGCAAAACACAGAAACACAGAAAATAAAGACAATGAAGCCTTTTCTTTGCATGTCAGCAAAGCAAACTCACCAATTCAAAATGTTTATTTAATTCATTTAGTCTAAATTGAACATGACACATGTTACATAAACAAAAGGTTTTGAATGAAAAGTAGAAGTTTGAAGAAAAAACGTCCTAGTCAATTATCTACACCAAAAGCAACTCATGACTCAAACTACTGTCCAAAGAAACCAGAGACAAAAATTGCAGACCTCCACAAGACTGGAAAGGGGCTGCAGGGGAATTGCCAAGCAGCTTGATGAAAAAGATGAACTCTGCAAGACGTAACCTCATAGCGTATCGGTGATCCCCAGAAAGGTGAGGAATCAGTCCAGAACTACTCAGGAGGAGCTGGTCAATGACCTGAAGAGCTGGCACCAATGTTTCCAATAATCCACCAAGATAGCATAGCTTAAAATCATGCATGGCAGGAGGTTCCCCCTGCTTGAATCAGCGCACGTCCAGGTCCGTCGTAAGTTTGCCCATGACTATTGGAATATGCAGAGGAGTCGTGGGAGGAAGTTATGTGGTCAGATGAGACCAAAATAGAAATTATTGGTCTTAATTCCACTCGCTGTGTTTGGAGGACGAAGAATGATGAGTACCATCCCCAAAACACTGAAGCGATGGCTGGGTCTACCAACATGAGAATGACCCAAAACACAGAACCAGAAGTGGCTCTGTAAGAAGCATATGAAAGTTCTGGAGTGGCCCAGCCTCCCCAGACCTAAACCCAATAGAAAATCTTTGGAGAAGCTCAAACTCCGTGTTTCTCAGCGACAGCCCAGAAACCTGACTGATCCAGAGAAGATCTGTGTGGAGGAATGGGCCAAAATCCCTGCAGCGATGTGAGCAAACCTGGTGAAAAACTACAGGAAACGATTGAAGCTGCAAACAAAGGTCACTGTTCCAAATATTAACATTTATTTTCACAAATGTTCAAATACTTATTTGCAGCAGTAACACAAATATGTGATTAAAACGTCTTCCATTTTGATTTCCGGGTTTTTTTAGATTATGTCTCTCATAGTGGACTTTCACCTAAGATGGAAATTTCAGACCAGTCCATAATTTCTAAGTGGGAGAACTTGCAAAGTCGCTCAACTACGTATTTTCCTCACTGCAGCTTTACGTCAACTCAACGCAGAAGTAAAGGAAAATATTACTTCAGATTCATCTGAGGACATTTTCCTTTGCGTTATGTATCTACATTGATCAGGAAGTTGACGCCCCCTGATTCCTGAGCAGGGCAAGAACCGCCAGACAATAAATGCTGTCAAAACTACAACATGGCATAACAAAAACAAGTGTTAGAGACAGAAACATTTTTCTTTCTTTCAAAGTATAAATTTTGTATTAAAATGTCCTACCTTGAACTGTGACGTTGTATCCAGTTAGTACTTTTTCTGAAGCTGCTATTACTACCGCCGTATAAAGTCCACTGTCAGATTTTTGGAGGTTTTTTAGTTTTATGGAGAATCTCTTTTCCAAAAGGTCTATTCTCGTACCATAAAAATTACCCAGGTTTGATTTTCCATGTGGGAAGAAAGACACCAGCACATCATCTGTGGCAAATTTCCATAAAAGGAGATGATAGTTTTTGGGAACCTCCACTTCTGAGACGTTGAGAAAAACATCGCCACCCGTCCGCACAAACACTGAAGCGAAAGCATCAGTTCCTGTAAAACACAGATACATAACAACTTAAGTTTAGGACTGTGTGTTTCATTTTAATGTCAGAAATGTTTGAGGAATCCTGTGAACAAAATGGCAGGTTTACATTCAAGATTTATATAAATAGTTTTCATCTGAAAAATACATTTCTAGGTTCCACAATGTTGGTTGAACAACTTAAAACCTATCAGATGAATGAAGCTGGTTTTTCCACACTTTTTTATTCTACTTTGCATTTATTGTATTTTATTATTTCCTACCTGGTTCATTATTGATGATCAGAAGAGCCAGTATCAGAGACAAAGACATCATCAACTCCTTCTGTGTAAGTCTCTCTTCATGTCTCAACAAACTGTTGAGCAGGAAACAACATCGACCCTCATCATGGTGGGAAGTGTCACCTTTGAGCTCTTCCTGTCCAAGACGCGTTCAGTCAGTTATGTCCTGACTGAACGCGTCTAAACACAAACCGATTGTTCTTGACAGGCATATTAGATTTTTTTTAAATCTGTGCATCAGGAGGCCTGCTTGTGTCCCTCAGTAGTAATATTTAGCTAAAATATAATAATTTAGCAAAATAAACTGGTCTACAACCGTGATCAGAAATCAGTATGAAACGTCACAATTCAAGGTGGGTTTTCAACATTTGAGACATTTTCAAGAACCTAAATTCAACCATCATCTGTTGCCATACCTACCAGATCAGTGAGACCCAAAAGTTTTTGGGTCAAGTTTTATATCTTGTGTCAAGTTTAACACTGTAATGAAATGAAGTAATTTGTATATTAAATTTAAATCACCTTCAATAATCTACTGTTTTTCTCTTAGCTAAAAGTTCTACTCATCCCATTTCCAAGCTGAAAAATATGCATTTACAAAAATCTTTTTTTCATTGTTTTGTTGAAATTTTCACAAAATTGTATGTAACAATTTTCATTTTGACTAAACAGAATAATTATTCAAGATATCAGTAATGTCATTCTGACTACTCAGAGTGTTATAGATATCTGAAATAGAAAAAAAAGTAAAGGTGACTCCAATTCATTTCGATATCTTAAAAGAAAATTTGTTCTCTCTAATTTAGTTTTGTTTAATCATTATTTGCTTTGAAGATGTCTGAAATGTATTTTTGCACCAGTTGAATATACATATCCCATCAAAATGCATCTTATACATTTATGGTGTCATTCAAGATATCTTTAATCAGAATTATGACTAAATAAGCATGATGCAGGTAAGAGGAACTGTCTGAGCATGTAATGTTAGAGACAAATATTGAAATCTGAGCTACAGAGAGAGATGGTTAAGGAGATATCGCAGAGGAATGTAGGTGATATAATTTTCAAAGCCATGATAAGTATCAATATTTTTATTATTGTAAAAGCGCAACAGGTATTTATGAGAAAATATGTATTACAGTTGTTGTTATTCACCCTCCAATCCAGAAGGTGGCGACCACAATGCCTTACCGCCTGCAAAAAACGCGAGAAGAAAATTCTGTTTGTTTGTATGGAGAGCTACCCAGGCTCTTTCGAGTTATCTCTGTGATTCTTTTAACCTATTGAGGCAACTTTTCATTCATTAAATAATCTAAGTTGTTCTGGAAAAGCAACTTTATAAGCGTGGTGGTGACCTCAGAAGAAGCAGTTTTAACGTCGAACAGAACGGGACCGGACCCGGTGAGCCGGTACCGTTAAAGCTCCGGTGCAAAGAGGTTCGTTTTTCTGCATTGAGATAACAGCGAGTGTTTTTGACGTTTCCGTAGGAAATTGTTTGTGTTGTTTTAAGGAGCAGTTCATCTAAACATCCGCGCCAGCTCAGTTGTTGATCCATAGTTTTATTACAGTTGTAGCTCAACATGCTAACTCTTCTAAAGTGGGCGTGTCAGTCCTAAATACTCCTCCTTTTTTAAAAAAACTAATTTCATATCAATAATAGACAACTTATTATGTCTATGACCTATTATTGTTGTTGTTAAGCACATAATTTTGAAGCATGTTATTTAATGTTGCCTTTTATGTGTTTTTTTTTAATTATATAATAAAAAGTTGAGACTTGTAGTTTAAAAAAATGCTGAAAAGTGTTGAAAATAAAACAGCAGTGATGGTCGAACCTGCTGGATGAATGTAGCTGACCTGCTGACCCTAAATGCCGCCTTCACTTAAACGTGACAATAACGACAATCTATGTTTTTCTATGTTGAATATTTATTTTTTGCAATTTAAATATGTTAAATGTTTTGTAATCTATATATTCAAGTGTATTTGTTTTATCTAGCATCAGACTCGACCTCATTGTGACAAGATGCTGCTGCTCTTTTCTCTGATTGTGTTTGTAATTCTAATTCTTCTGGACAATGTTCAAGGTAAATGATTATCTTATTTGTTTTTGTTTAGCTTCTTAAGTCAACAGTGTTTTTCTTAACAATAAAAAACATTTGATATGTTCGTACAATAAACAAATAAAAACAAACTGAGTCACAAACTAATAGGATAAAGAGTTAATAAATTCAGTTTTGTTTTAAAGCCTTTTGTTGTGTTTCGCAGGTGCTGGGATTGATATTTCTGTGCAGACTGGAGGAGATTTGCTTCTTAATGTCACCGTTCTGAAGAAGTTTCACCTTTTTTACTGGCAGTTCAATTCAAAAGACACATTAGTGGTGTTTGATTCCAGTGGCAAACCGACAGTGGAGAAGAACTACACTGGAAGAATTGAACTTTCTGGAGATGAAAGATCTGTGAAATTAAAGAATCTACAAAATCTGACAGTGGCGTTTACTCTGCATGGGGTTTAGGAGACAAAAAGGAGCTGCTGGAAGAATACAACGTTACAGTTAAAGGTAGGTTTTAAAGAAAACATGCTATGAGAATTCAAAACCCAAATATGTGCAATCTGCAGAACAATCCTATCAGATTCATTTTGCTTTAATGTTTTAAAAACTTCTGTTAATAATTTGATTGTAGCCATAGCACCCAGGTCAGCAATGATCCTGTTCCAGATCTGGAAGCAAGACTGAGGAGTAAAAGCATTTTTGGTTTAAACCAGTTGGAAAATGTATTGCTGCTTAGTAACATAACCTCTGTTCTCCACCAGACATTTTCAGATCAAATTAGAACAGGAATATTAAACTATTTATGTCTCCACAAGTTTATCTGTGTTTCTGCTTTAGCTCACCTGAATCCAATGAGTAGGTTTTTGGTAGGACTCTGCAGAATTTGCGTCCATCCTGATCAGATTATTCAGCTGCTGAAATCAGGCGGATTGGACATCGAGACATTACTGGGTTTAGATCATGTTGGATCTGTTTTCTTATATTCTCTTGTTTTTTCTTTTTAGGGTCTGCAAACCATGATGCTGTTGCTGTTCTTGCTGTAGCTCTTCTCCCTTATCTTGTTAGTGGGGCAGCAGTTGGTCCAGCAGCAGTTGTTATTGCTGCTGGTTTTGCTGTATGGTGCTGTAGAAAGAAGGTAAGTCCATATATGTCATTATTGCATCATAAAGAGAAATAATAATGCAAATGCATGTCAGGGACACCAAGATGTGGGTCTGGATCATAGTTCAGTGAATATAATGATTTAATCCTGCGGTTAAAAGTCTTGTTTCTTCTTCATTTAATTATATCCTAGTTAGCAATGCCATTATTAATGCTAACTGATAAAATTGTCAACATTTCTGTCCCCAGTGCAAGTCCTCAGCTACTTCCCAAGACCAGAAAGGACCTGTATGTTTTTCAGTGAGCTCTGGATCAACTTCTCCAACCATTCTGCCTCTTTCTAACAACAGAGCTCCCCGCCTCATTTCTGAGGATCAGGTCAATCTCCTAATGGAGGAAAACTCTGCAGATTTACCAAAAGCTGCAGAGAAAACCACAGACTTAGCCTGAAGTTGAACAAGCACACTTCCCAGCTCCCTTTCTTCACTCTCTGCTGCGGTTCAGTTATCTTTCCACAGCTCCTGCCCTCATCCATCCATCTACCCTTGTTCCTAGTGGGGTTGGGAGGTACTGGTGTTTATCTCCAGCTAATGTTCCAGTCTGTTGCAGGGCTCCTGTCCTTGTGAACGCCAGAAATTAGTTTTTCTGTAACTTTCGTTTTTTTCTTTGCCTTTAGCATAGCTGTAGCAAACCAGCAATATTTGTTAACAGAACGAAGATCATTCTCTCGACTCTTATTGGTATTTTCTGACCGGGAAGTTGAAGTCAGAGAACCTTAATATGTATTTTTTTTTTTGCATTATTTTATTTTTTTGTCGTAAATTTTCTCATTAAACTGTAAGGAAATGTTGGTAGTTAAAACATCATAAAAATTACCAACTTAAGCTTTAATGTTTCAGTATTTTTTTATGATGATCAAAAATGTATTTTTCTGATGAAATGTTTTAGCTACTGACCTGCTGTGCCTTTTGGAGAAAATGTGAACATACAGAAAATTGTTTACATGCTAAATTATAAACATTTTCTGCTGTACTGTGCAATTTTTAAATGTTTGTCTGATGTCTGTACTTTATTATTTGTAAATCTTCTCTTTCTTTAAAATGCAAAAAATTGCACAGAACATGAAATATGTTTGTTTTACTTCATTTTAACTGATAAGCTCAAACATCAGTATTTGACTGTTTTGTATTTTTTTACCAAATACTTTTTTACTTGGAAGTATTTTCTCAAGTTATTCCTCTTCTAAGTAAAATGTATTATGTGTGTAATATGAAGAGAAGGTTGTGCACTTGAAGCTTTACAATAATAACAGGTTGACTGTTGGTATGGGGATATACTGTTTTTTCAATCATCATTGCCAAAGAAGTAAAGCATTAATGAATTGTTTTTCTTCAGTGTTGACATCTATGAATAAACTAATTTGTTTTAAAGGACTTGAGCTCGAAGTTTTGTTTGTGTGGGTTAGTGTTTGCTAACAAGCTGAGATGTGTTCACCATATGCAAGTTTTCTAAATAGTTTTCAGGATTCTATTCAGGTTTTAATGAGATATGAATGCCACATAAATGAATGCTTTTTTAGAAAATGTAGGCACAGTCCTGCCAATTTCACCAACAATCTCAGAAATTTTCTATTAAAAAAACTTACAAATTTCTGAATTTGAAATGTCAAATTTGCTTGAAAAAACTTACATTTTTGATTTTTCAAACTCAAATTCCCTTGTTCTAGAAAATTTCTGAGATTCTCAAAATTGCAGTTTTTTCCTAGTAATTTTTCAACTTTAGAAACTCAGAAATGTAATTGTTTTTTTAAGTGTTTTGGTTATAATTTATTACTTTTTTCTATCTTTAGGCACTGATGGGGTAATTCCAGTTCCTTTATTTTCCCCTTGAATTGGTT